TAGTCTGAATTTAACAGCAAGTAATTAAAGGACGTTAATTAAAACTCAATTAAGTCCTCTATTTTTACTGCTTCTCAATACGAAGTGACACATGAGATATTAAAGCATTAACGTCCTAAACTCTTGCTAACTAAATACAAATTCCCTTCACGGGTATAAATCAGAACCACAGATACTTGTGCTTGACTCCTCTTGCAGTGGTATGAATTCTCCTTTTCAAAGTTAAGATACAGCATGTTCACAAAACTTGTTCTCCGTTACTGGTATTTAAGTGAATGAGTATTATATTCAGTATTAGTCCAATTTAAGTGGTTTGATTTCTTTCTAATTTTTTTTTTTTCATCCATTTCTTCCTTTCTGTGAACAGTACAACCTTTTTGTGACAAAGAAATGGTTTAATTGCCCCAAGGATCCAGAATTTGTGACTTTCAATACATCCTTTGGCTACTTTGGCATTTTCACTTGTACTATCATGACCCAGCTGTGGTCTTGGCAAGCAGATTTCAGGTTGACACCATTCTGTTCCCAACCGCTTGGGGTAATACTCTTCCAGCTGTCAGCAAGTCCAGTTTCACTCAGCATGGGCCATGAGAATGGGCATCAACTTTCTTTCAGCAAATACACACAACTCCACTTTAGGTATGACAGGTAATGGAATATTGCTCTAATTGATCTTATTCTAGTGGGCAACATTTATATCTGTGTAGGGCAGTTGACCTGAGCAGAAATTCCCATCAGCTTTACGCATGCACACTGCATGTCGACAGGATTAGGACAAGAGAACTTGTATAGATAAAAAGAAATAAAAATGTGGTATGTAAGAACTCAGAAGTGTTTAAGTTGACTAGAATACCTTTAGTTACTTGTTAAATGATCAGTCCTGAGAGTGATCAGGCCTGCATGTGATTCATCTTCTGACCCTGGTGTTTATGTTTTGGTCATGTGAAGGCCCAAACTTTTTTTCTCCACTAGGTGGAAACCTAACTCTGAGAAATGTTCTTCCAAGTCCTGTAAACATTACTTCTGGGGCGGAGACGTGCCTCGTTTTCTTTGCAGGCTCTGTTTTCACATATTTTTTCTGAGCAGATGCTAGAAGTCAAGCACAAGTTTTGTGGGTACAGGCTTGCAGAAGTGAGAGAAACTTACTAGTGTTGCTAAAATGTAGCCCTAAACTTTGCCTTCCAAATAAAAGCATATGTGGGCTGTTCCTTTAGTTCTGTCATTGACGACCCTGTGTCATACAACTCATATTCTTTATGGACAGATTTTACTTCGACATTTAAAGATTTATGTATTTCTGTAAAGAATTTGCATTAAAAAGTGACTTTTAGTAGTATCTTTTCCTTGAAGACTTTTTTTTTTTTTACTTGACAGTGCTACTGTTCATTCTAATCAGAAACATGGATTTCTAATGCAGCTATACTCAATGAGGAATGTATAGCTTCAGTCACTTATATATAAAGAAATGTAATTAGCACACTAGTCTGGTGACTTATAATACATGAAACATCAGAGTTTGGACTACTTCACATTGATTGCAGAAAGCATTAGGTTAGGATTGTAGTCTGTGAAAGCTTAGTTTAGTTTCAAACCAATTTAGTAAACATTAGAATAAAATTTGGCACATGTTTAATTAGTGAAGACTGCTTACTTGTCCCATACACTTGCTTTCACATTATAAGCTTTTTGGTGTTACATATTCTCAGGGATAGTATTTATGCCCCAGATGGTCCAAGAGCGTATTATTACAATACAGAAACAGAAAATGGTCACCTTTTGGTAACAGAACTGAGTTCACACCTATGTCTCTCTCCGGACTATCCAGCTGCTGTTAACTGGAAATTGTACGCCAACAGGATCATACATCTTCCATCAAACAACCACTATTTCAGTGGGGTTGTTTACCATGATCTCTTCTTCTTCACGGAGCTCACTGAACCCGAGGGAAATTGTGCCATTTGTCAGGAGGACCTCTGTTGCCATCTGAGTTACATGAGGGCGGAGAAGCAGAAAGATAACATTTATGTTTTGGGTGCCTCTGGCCTACATGTTGTTGAAGGAGTGTATTATTTTCAGGTAAAGGTTTTCTGTTCTTACTTGGGCAGTGGGAAGGCTGCAATACTCTCTTTGCAGCCCATTTGCATTTGTCTCATTTTTGATTGAGGGCGTTTAAGAGGAGGCATTTTTTGGGCTCTTCTGAAAACATTTTTCTTCGTGATGCATTTTGACTTCATTAGGGATGTCGATCCTGCTTTTCTGTCTATATTATAAATTATGTAAGTGAAGACCCCGAGTTGACCCTGTGCTATAACATTTCAAGGAGGTTTCCATATATGTGTAAAAAAGGGAGAGAAGGTTGTAGAGTTCTCCCTGTCCTCATAGGGATGCTCTTGTCACAAGAGAGCCATTTTCTGCTCTGTGGTTTTTACCATTGTGCTGATGTTGTTCTCTGACATGCAGTTATCTAACAAAATTAAGAAACTGAGTGTGAATGTAACATTTGTATTCACATGACTTCTCAGTGTATAGATTGTTTTAAATTTCGCTGTTAGGCTTTTTTTAATGTGTTGTATTTTTATGTCTTTTCTCTGTATCTTTAGAGTTTTCCCAGTAGAGTAGGCAAGTAAGTATGACTTCAGTTTTTAGGAAACTCAGCCAGAGCTGAAGTAACTTCCCTAGGTCACAAACTGTTCCCCATCTATGACTAAATGCATATGCGTTATGCACGAATGCACACGTAACTTATAAACACATGTGTGTACACACAGACACAGTGCTTTGCTGCAGTGCTGGCAAAGAACTGTCTTTGTTTACAAAGTTTCAAGTGCCACCCACAGATCCTCTTGGCCTAAATAAATGAGTAGATGTATTGGATCATTTCTTCATCATGACAGCTTTTCTTACAGTCAAATCCAGCTCTTGATTGTTGAAATCTTAACAGTCATTTTGCCTTTCTGTATCCTTCTCCCTGCAGATATACACACTGCTCCAGTGCAAGAGCACAGACCTGAACATGTGTGGGCAGCCGGCGGAGATGGCTCAGACCAAGTTTGAGATGTTCGCCCTCAGCAGCATGTTTGGCACCAACTATGTCTTTGCAGAAGTCTTGTACAGCGGGGTGCAGCTGGCCGCCGGGGAGTTTGAGGTAATGGGACACCCTTGTGAGTTGTCAGACTTGTAACACACATGGTCAAAAAGCCACCGCAAGGCACAGGAGCAACTTGGGAGTTACCCGTGTCCTCTGTTTCAGTAACTGCCTTGAGTTCAAGGCAGCTTTATTTCTGCCTGATTTTCCTGATTGCATTCATACAGCAGGTCTATTTTGCTGGTTCCCTTCTTCCTTGTCCCTCCAAATTCCCTAGAACAAGATTTTGCTCAAGACAGAAGTGTAGTTTTTCTCAGACTTCGTGACATCTCTCAACTAGGTCAACTGTAATGAATATATTATTTTGTCATACAGTAGTACTGCTTTGCTGATGTTCCTGTTTGTTTTACTTTTCCATAACTAAGTGCTAACTGATGGCAGTCTGGTATGTCGGACTAGCACATCAAAAACAGTTTTGAGTGTATCTCTCTTTGGGAGGTGGTATGAAAAGGACCCTCCACCCACAAAGCAAGCTTCACCATGATTTCACTGCAGATCCTTTAAGATCTCACCTGATTGTTTCTGTAACGCTAATAAATCATAATTAATCATAATGTTGATTAATGTTAATACTCATAATGACATTCTGTTTCTCAAGTTGCCTTATCTAACAGCATAGTCATTGCACATTGATCTTTTGACTTGATTTTGCAGCAAAAATAAATTACTCTGTTGGGCAGTTCTGTATGCGTTCCTGTATGATAGCGTCGGTTGTCATAGGCTTGACATTGACACTGGAGACAACAGAAAATAAATCCCTCAGTCTTTAGTGGTGTAGGATTCAGGCACATAGCAGTGGGTTGTGGCCCAATAACAATCTATTTTTAATTCTTTGAAATTTTTGGTGGAGCATTAGAAGTCATTTCCACAACACTGTTCTGCCCCATCTCTGAACACACACTTTTCTAAACCAGAGATTAACAGAACCTTTGAAGGCCAATGGTTGAACTTTTATCATTTACTTTAAAAAAGGAAAACAAGCTTCGAAACACTGCTGCTCCAAAAAACAGTTACTCAACTCAGCACACAGTGTAATGTGTTATCATGCTGTGCCCTAACTTACAGTTGGAGCAGTCTGCTTGAATCTTTCTGGCCACAGTTTTAGGGTGTGGAAAATTTCCTTTCCGCAAAACTATTGATAGCTGTGTCATCTTTTTCAAGCATTCAGGTGGGTCCATCTCGAAAATTCTCAAAATGAGCAATTTTGCAGGTGCATACCTGTCTTCCCATGAAATGGTTGCTCATGCTGGTGTGAGGGACAGTCAGGATGGTGCAGGCAGGCATTGGGAAAGGCTAGTGTGCAGCTTGAACAGACTGAGCACACTGGCATGTGTGTGGGTGTAGGCTCTGCAGACTGTACTTTCTAAGCAAGTGAACTGGATCACTTTGCATGGCGTAGCTAGGATTTCTATGTGTGGTTAATTCTGGTGTTTGTTCTGCAGGTTTATTTTGAAATAAAACCGTTGTTCACATTTAATCTGAAAAATGTCATAAAAAATAGACTTGCAGGATGCAAAATACATTGGTTTTGAACAAAGTGAACATTGTAAAAACAAGATTTTAGTCTGTAATTATTAAATGGTAACCCTCTGCAATTCATCTAATAGAAGTAATGGAAAATACTCTACTTTTTTGTGGAGAAAAAGTACTGTATCTCTACATTTATATCTGCACCCTAGGACACGGTGTCCTGTTACAGCTAAGCAACATAACTATGTGCTGTTGCTAAAAGTGGGAGGCTTCTGATTTCCTCACCCCTGCCCTCATGTCCTTCCTGCTTTGCAGTGATTGCATGGCTGCAGGTGTGACCCTTCACACAGCTTCTCCACAGCAAGATTAACCCTTCGAACAAGGAGTAGTCTTCCATGCAGCCTCTCTCAGCACAAGAAAATGAGCAGGACCACAATGTGAAGACAGACCACCTCTACAGCTAAGCTGATTTAGCGTCAAATTGCATCCTGTTTCACAAAGGTAAGTCCTCAGACAACTGACATCCTCAGGCAGCAGCAGAGACTGGGGAGAGTGGATTGGGAAGATGGCGGTGTGATGAGTAGAGGGAGCTCTAGGGTAAGCTTCCTCTTACATTGGCCCCAGGCTTCTATAGCCTGGACCACCATAGTTTTGTTGAGTTTTATTCAGTGGGTTGGTTTGTTTGACAGACATTAGTTCCTTGTTCCTGGGTGAGCTCCCAGCTCTGCAGGCAGTAGGTGGTGGTGCCTGCTGGTGCAGAGGCAGACAGGGATGCCTTCATCCCACCCTACTACAGAACCCCCCTGTCCTGGCAGTGTGGCTTGAACTGCCCCGCGCTTGTAACGTTTTCTGCTTAGCCCTGCCAGGGTAGTCACCTTTCTGGGCTGACTGTTGCCCTAGCAGTTGCTAAACAAGGGAGCATTTACTGCTTCCTCCTTCAGGCTTGTATTTGATTGTGGTTGACATGATTCAATCTGTATTTCATTTGGTAAGAAAAACAGGGTGGGGAAAAAAAGGCTTCCAAGCTAGATTACTTCAGTTATCACTGAAATCTCTATTGCAGCCTCTTAAAGGCTCGTATTTAAGGCACCTGAATGAGCCTGCTGTAACGAGTACTGTATATAGAGAAGTACTTAGAGTGAATGGAACCAGATGTAGATCAATGTTCCTAATGGTTGAAAACCTTGATCAGCGCTACTCTTGCAGGGGACTCCGGTGCTTGCATTCACCATCTCTTTTCTGCGACAGCTCTACAACAGTCTGCTGTAGCTGAAATCAGACAGCCTGTTCTGCTTCCCACTATTCAGAAAACATTTTCCAAGTGAGAATACTGTAGCTACTAGAAAGTAAAAAAAGTCATAGCAAAAAATGCATTTAAACTTGTCACGGTTTGAGGCTGGGCCGGCCAC